TCCCCCTTCCTGTTCCCCATGACCACTCTCACCATCCTTCCACCCATGACCTGCAGATTGCGTTGTCAGCCATGTCCATTGCGGCCGATCTGGCCACATTCGAGGTCTGCGCGTCTACTCCCGCTCCCGGCATTATCACCATCTTTTGGCTACCCTCCTCGCCCTCGTCTACGCGCTTGCCTTCGCGTTGACAGAGCTGCTCATGTTGTATCGGAGCATGTCCTGGGCGAAGGTTGGTGAACCTTAACGCCATATTAGAATGCCGAAGGCCGAGGTATTGTTGATGTAAAGGTCAAGATCAACGACAACTTAACGGAGGCAGAGCGAGTCTATGTATGGGATGAGGCCAATTGGGAGGTCTCTCGTGCGATGAGTCTGATCCTAAGAATCAGCCTGGACTTGGTTCGTATACATTTCAACACGTCCGCAACTGCCAATCAGCCAGCTGTAGGGGAGGATGAACAGCCACTTATATCAGATGACACCCCTGCTGAGGGGACTTGTCAGGGGATGCCCTTATGTATTATTGACTAGGGATGGGCATCATGTGTAGCTATGCTCTGTTGTACATTTTTACAAGTGCTCAGTGATTGCAGCCCTCCAAATCTTTCACCTTATGTGTCTTTTTTGTGCTACTGGGCAGAGTTTTGCATTGCCTGGCTTTCAAGTTTTTGGTCATGCATGTTTTAGTGGGTTGAATTGACAAAAAGAAACAGTAAGACTGCAGTTTTTCTTTTATAAAGCATAGGCCACATCCAAGGCTGCCCAAGGAGTCCTCGCAGACACTCTGCAGGCCTTGGATCTGGCGTTGAATCGGCGTCAGGTGCAGGTGATAAAACTGCATGCCTCACTCTAACCCGGTTGCCACTGGCGGAAGAGGATATGATCTTGTATTTGACAGGACACCCTTGCTGAGAGTAGCACAGGTCACGCCAGAGTCAGCCAGACACGCAAACATAGCCTTTTCCTTTTCACCACTTGTCATTTTTGTAACCCTAAGAACCCTGCATGACAGCTTTGCCAGTGCACCCAACCCAGCTGCGCTCGGCCCGAAAGGTACAAATTGAACTGGGGACTTGTGGCAAGGGGCATGGCACCAGCGCTCTCGCTTGTCAGTCGTGGTCGGCCTTTGACATATCCGGAGAGTTCGCTGACTTTCCTAGGACTGAGCTGCTGACCAGACTCGACTGATGGTTGAATTGGGCTTACCGGGTCTACAGGACCTACAGCCTAGACGTGGCAATTCTACCTGCCAGACTGTACTTTTGTGCACAGGACTTTGGAGTATTGGGAACTGGGACTGAACGAAATGCTGATACACATGAAATCACTTTTACTAGAAGAAGACATATAAAATTGGCAGGGCAGAAGATGAGGGCTGAAGCAAGGGTGGGACACGAGGGAGGAGAAGAAGTGGGGAGGAGTGGCGGCTTCTTTTGTTTTCCTCCTCGTGAAATAGATTGTCTGTGCTCAGGAAGAGGAGGACAGGTTCTCCTTACAAAGCGATCATGGCAACAAGGTCACAAAATGGCAGAGCGGAAGATGGGAATAAAGATGATGAATAGGAGGATGGAAGATGAGGGTGAGATGGACAAAGGAGGAAGGGAAAAGGAGCAGTGGGAAAGTGTAACAACTTTCCCCCTCGGGAAACAGAGGATGAAATCTGACAAGATCAGGAATAAGAAGGGGGAAAGGGGGATGGAACGAGGAGGAGGAGGAGAAATGACATTTTTTGGCTCCTGTTGATGTTTATTTCCCTCCAAGTTTGTCAGAAAGTAAGGGGCTGGAGATCATGAACAGGAGGGTGGAAAGGCAGGGAGGAGGAAGAGCAGTGGGGTGAAGTAGGGTATTACAGGCGCCTAATTTTTCCTTCCCTTTTTCCCCCGTCCCGCTTTACAAATAGAATTTGTATTCGTGTAAAGATTCGGGATGGCAGGAGGAGGATGAGTGCACACTATTTCTATTCTGGTGTTATGATCCTACCCCATCCATAGTGGAAAACTCAAATTCTGAGACATGCAAGACTTGCTGAAGTTCAAAAGAAGAGATGGAGAGAGAGAAAGAGTATAGAAAGGAAACACTCAAAGAAGAAGAAGAATTACACAAGTACCACCAATGTCTTCTCGTTCTTCCTCCTCATCCCTCTTTTTCTTCCTTGTTGCTCCTCTTAATAATTAATGAAATGCAGCAACAAATGAAGGACTACACCCAGGGCTATTGTGGAACATCCATGCTCAACGCATGTTCAAAGGACAACGCAAGCACTACTATGCTAGGGCCTTCTTGCAACCAAGGAAGTGAAGATGAAGGTCAACCATAGCCAAGGTGGGTCTCTATCTGTTGGCTTATCGCACGCTCCCTCGTCCTCACCTCCTACTCCCTTCTACCGGCCTTCTCCTGCTGGCATAATGGGGGCGCTTCGCCCAATGCCACCATAGCCAGGACTGCGTCCAACCAATACTCCTCCATAGCCAAGGAGGTCTTCTCCTTCGCCCTCATGCTCCACTGCTCGTCTGGCACTCCGCCAAACTTCCCCCTCTGCGCAGGGCAGCAGCATGACTGCCGGGTAAGGTACCGCTCCACTCATTCTGGCCGAATGATATACTCTGTACCTCAACGTCACGGCTTCACTTAGGCCGAGCTATCGGGGGACTCTCCAGTGTGCTAGTCCTATCGGGGGACTCTCCATGTGCTAGTCCTATCGGGGGACTCTCCAGTGTGCTCTCCTAATCCCACCAATCATTCCAACACCATTTCACTTTGGACAGTATCTTGATGCTCCTGTTGATCATTCCAACACCAGTTCACCTAGGACAGGATCATGTTAGTGTGTTGTGTTCCCATGAATCATTCCAACTCCATTTCACTTACTGAAGTATCATGATGATGGCATCATATTAGCATGTTAATGCCTGGATTCTGCATTTTTGACCGTAGATCACGCAGATTGACGGTCAGAAACAAAGAATCCTTGCAACTTGGTCTTGAACCCAGAGTTCTGGAGTCAAAGAGATTTGCACCAATCGTTTTATTGTTTCTTGTTTTTGATATCAGGTGCAGACTTCCCACCAATCTTTGGTGCCGTGGTAAGTGCTCAGAGTCTGTGTGAGAGTAGATAAAGTCTGTGTCAGAGCAGACCAACTCTGTGTCAGACTTCTCCAGGAGGTTTTTCGTTCCAGCTCTTTTTCCTTTTTGCACCCTGAACAAGATGATAGCTACCAGAAGGATTTTGGCTGTTCTTTGGGAGGCTTTTCTTTCAACATTCTCTACTTTGATTTCCTTTTTTCCTTCCTGCCTGAACAACAGGATAGCGTCTAGCAGGATTTTCCTGATCGCTCCGCAGTTTTCAAACTTTGGTAGAGAAAGCCCTCTAAGACATGGTGAATGCTTTAATCACACTCCCAGGACACACCTCAGGCAGATCGGAGGCATTCCAAGCCGGGAGACTCCCAATGGTACCCAGTCGCTCAGCGACCGCCCTCTCCCAGCTGTGTGTGTCGTAAGCATAGCCAGCAGGACGCTTTGCGGCCGAGACCCCCCGTACAACATCTACACAGCCTTGCGACCGTCCCCTCGTGGGGTATCCTGGCCGCGGATGTGAATGTGCTGGAGTCCAATATCGCGGATTCCTAGTGCAGGAATCTTTAGTGAGTGCCAACGCACTTGACTGAGCCAACCAGGACTCGATCCAGAGCTAGCAAACTCCTACTTCTCCTACAGTCACACTTGACCCATATTGAACATCCGTAATATTTGGCAGCTGCAGCCAGCCATAACTGCGGTTAAAAAATCCTCACAACCTGGGCCAGCCGGGCCCAATTTGAGCGTGCAAACCCGGGCCTGCCCGAGCCCAGACCTTGAAGAAGAATTGCAGCCGGACCTGCCCAGACCCAGACATACTTTTGACCACCTGCCCCCACCCAGGCCCTTAAGCACAATCCCACCCGCACCTGGCCATAGCTGGCATCTTTTTCACTGCACTAACCCGCCTGTACCCGCCATTGCTTTTCCGAGTTTTCAACACCCTACCCACCCATACTCAGCCTGACCATTCCCACCTAGACAATTGGTGGACGCGACAATGTAGAACCCTTAATCAACCATTGGAACTCAAGAACAACTTGGTGCATGAATGACAAGTCTCGAGACAACTGCAGATGCCACATGTGAGTGGAAGAAAAAGAAGTCATGATAAAAATTTCAAAGCATATCCCGGTGGTCTGTTAAAAAAAAAAAAAAATCATGCAAAATAGGGGCCGGCACCCCTATAGACAGATATGCATGGGTTTAGACCCCAATATGCATAAATGCATATCTTTTTGGCAGGTGACCCGTGCCAAGTCTAGACCCGCCCACACCTGGCCATTTTCTTTTTTGTTTACAAGACCACCCACAACTGGCCCTTTTTTTTTTTCCACAGTTGCCCCCAACCCGGCTCAGGCCCATTCTCACATCACCTGGCCACACCTGGCCAGGTGGGACATGGTGTAGCCAGACCTGCCTGCAGCTGTCGATTCCAGCCGGGGGCAACTGGCCGCGACTACGGCCAGCCATTTGCAGGCTCTGACTCGATCCCGCTGCCTGTCTTGTGACACAGGAACCTGTAGAACACAGGCCCCCGACCTGCCTGTACCTCAGCCTGCACAACCTAAAAAAAAGAAAAAGACATGGTGAATGCCTCATGATGACAGCAGGAGGAGGGCGGGGGGGGATGGACACCCCCACTTATAAGTTTTGTTGTCACTGCTGTCAGTTATCTGGCAGGGCGGGGGGGGGGGGGGGGGG